TTCACTCGATAGGCATCATGTGATTAGAGATAAATGTCCAAAGTTTGATTAGGGTGCACGGGCTTAATCTGGGAGATGATGCGTGAAGGTAATGCCTAATATCCGAAGGCATGAGAATCAGAGCCTAGGCGACTTTGTACGTGTTACTGAAGGCTTGATAAATAGCACTTGGAATAAAACTATGCTGGGGCTGGAACCGAGTGAAATCGGTGCACGATAAATAGGAAATGGACCTACGGGCCCATGAGGCAGATCCGGACAGGAGACTAGAGCAGAATCAGCCACTCGAAAGAAAAGGGAGAAAAGAAAACAGCGGGTGTGATGACGCCACGGTAAATTCGCTAAAAGGTCACATCTCTTGTGGAATAGAAGCATGTCATAAGTTGCGATAGGACGAGGGCGAGAGTAAAGGGTAGGAAATAGATGGAGGGACCAGGACAAAACAAGGAGTGATAGCATAACAGTCTCTGCAGACAGTTGGTCAAGGGATTGATTTCACTAGTCTCTGACGCGTTGTAGCTTGGTTGCTAAGATTGGCAAGACTAACTGGTGATGCCGACTATGATGCCGGCGAAACGTCTGGGAATGTACCAAGGCCACGGTCCGACTCTAGAGATGATCACGCATACTATGGAGTCCAGACAAGGTGCGTTCCTCTAGGTCCTCCTGTTAATATGATCAAGTTGCGAAACCAAGGTCAAACAACTTTGATACTTGATATTCTCATGCCAGAAATATTAATGGTACTGATATCCAAAAACTAAGTACATAGTAATATCGTCGATTGCAGTGGCTAATTGACATATCCCACTAAAAAGTTAATAAGGAAAAACCTGATTTATTTTGAAAGTCACATCTTACTCCCATCGTCTATAGAACTGGTAAAATTATCGCCTGACGCACACGATCTAGTTTCTAATTATTATAAAGGTAAAATGCTTAAGTATTTTTGAGAGGCAAGGCTTCTTATTCGAAGGTTGATTTACGTTTTATTTAAGTGTGTATGTCCCTGATAAAAAAATTAGCAATAAATCTATCAATTATCCAAATATAAATCTGGGCGGAATAAAAAAACGATCAGAATATATTGTTTACATCGATAAACAAAAAATATATTGCACTCACTTGGCTAGCATCGTTTGGATAACTTATTTCGAGATCACGGAAACCAAGAGAACTATGAGACTTAGTCTCTTCATCAGTACTTAGTTGAGTGATATTCACTTCGTCTTGTTCGCTGCTGACTTTCGAGGCTGTATGGACTTCGGACAAACCAGGGGCTGGCCTAGTCAATGAAACACTCGTCTCGAGTAGTGTTGGAGAATTGGCAAGAACACAAGCTTCATGTTCCATAAGGCTCTGGTCGTGTATTGGAGAAGTGTTGGCTAGATTTGATTGTATAGACTGATAGAGAGAGGCGTCGGATGTTCGGTCTGCAGAGGAACGAGATGAAAAAAGTGAAATATCGACGGGGGCAGGTTGGATGGTAGCGATAGAAGAAACAGTGGATGAGGCAGGTATACTCGAAATGATAGAGGAACAGATAGCAAGTTGAGTGGTAGCGCTAAGTCGATGGTCTTCCAGTACGGGAGTCGCAGACAAAGTCGAAGTCAGGTGGTCCGAAGCTTGAGCTAAAAAATTAAATCATCCAAGAGGGAAAGATACATTTTGAAGGCCTCCTGAAGCAAGCCTTAACTTTTAAATAAATAATAGTTCAAATAATGACTTAGTGGGTTTTAAAAAACAGAAAAACTGAGATCTTGTTTCAAAAGTGGCAACCGAAATAAAATTGATTTGACCAAAGTCAAAGTAGACATTAAATGGCGAAGTAAAAAAGGCGAATGCATTTATGATATTGTAGAGAACAAATTATGATTCTAAACTGGTGAAATTTTAATACTGAGGATGCTGTAATTGCATAGAAAGATAAGGTAATGCAAAAAAATCTATTTAAAACTTGGCAAATAAATAAAATTGCTTATTTTTTGACAAAAAGTCTTTCCCTTTGCTACATTTTGAAATAAACCTAACTAATGACTTTAAAGAGAAAACTGGCTTTTTAGCATATATTAAGTTAAAATTATTTAGAAAATTATGCAAGAATTAGAAAGTTACAATTGAACCTGAATAGTTGACTGGCTAAATAAGAATCTCCAAATTCTACTTTTTCAGCCTTGAGTAAAATGTACAATCTAGCTTGGACAATGATTTTACTGAGGACCCTTACTCCCAACAAATAAATCCAATTTTTTTAGAGTATTAAAGAAAAGTTTTGATGTAAGCGTCCCCTTCATTTAGTTTGAGAATGCAAGTGGAAAGAATTCGTGAATTGGCCTCACTAAAAGCCAAAGGAATTCTTTGTAGTTGTGACTAGTTTTGTGCGAATAAGTCACAAGTACACCGCCCCGTGACTTCTAGGAATCCGTGCTGAGCCCACGTCTGTCGTGTCAGCAGGAAACAATGCTCCACGATGTTTCATCAAGTACAAAACCAAAACGATCCGGCTTCCATCCAACCTACTTATTATAGTCTGACTTTGTCTACATAATGAGCTAGCTCGAGCATCTTATGGCAATCATTATCTGAGATCCTTAGCTCGGAAGACATCTTTAGGTTGCAAATTATGGCAGATAAATAATATGATAGAGCCTTTTATAGATTAGGACGAATCACAGTGAAAAAACTTGCAAACTAAGAATCAAAACAAAGAGTTATCAGAGAATGTCAAAAGTAGACGTTAAATGGGAAAGTAGGAGAGACAAAGGTAAACCTGTCCAAAACCGCATTGGATGTTATCGCTTAGAAAATTTTAGCGAAAAGTTAGAAATGTGCTATCAAAACAGTAGGAATGACAGAAAAGAACTGATAGAATACAGAAGTTTTGCAAGACGCTTCGAAGAAGAGACTAGAAGTATTGTGGAGTTACGGTTTGTCCCCGTAATTGATAATAATGCAGATGTACCGCTAAGAGATATGAGAGTGCATACCGTTGTATGGAAACTAAGAGACAAGCGATAAATAGTGTTGATAGCAGACAAAGGGCGAACAGTTGTCGCCATGACTAGAGATAGTTATGTAGAAAAAATAGTGCAAACATTGGATGGAATGGAAAAATATCAATTATTAGTTAGGACCTTACAGAAACCCCGAAGTCTAAACAAAAGGGTCGCCTGCAACAATGCCTACCAAACAAGGAAGCGGAAAATTAAAAAAACTCTCCAACGGGATTCCGAAACTTCAAGTTCATATGGACTGCCATAAAACATATATGGAATCATAATGAATAATACGTGATGCGAGATGCAAAAAATATCCGTATTTATTCGTCAACAAATATAGCAAATTTCCGAGATCTGGCAATGTTAAATAAGGAATTCTGATGGATTTTCAAGCTAGTAAATGGAAAGTAAAATTGCATGTAGGTTTTGATATATAATTGATGTACGAATAGAGAAAAAAAAGATCCAAGAGATACTGCATAGGCGCTAGAGGATATCAACAACTAGAGATTTTTATTAGTATAAAATAAGATATGCCAATAATGATGTTGGCGATGATGTTAATAAGCTTAGCATATTTTACTTTTAATAGCAAAATGTACATACAAGCACGAGGTTTAGCTATGGGATCATGCTTTTCCCCAATTTTAGCAAATTCCTATATGATTCAACTAAAAAGCCACCGAATAAAAATAATAGTAAGTTATTGGTAAAGCATGGGTGACAATTTTACCGTTTGGCAAACCGACGAAAAAAGCCTAGAAAACTTCCTGAAGTAATGAATAGAATAGATTAGAAGACTAAATTAACTATTAAATTCGAAAAGGATTGTAGTCTAATTTTTCTAGATGCCAAATTCAACAGAAAAAAACAAATTTGATATATATTTATATTTATATACATAGGAAACCAACGAATGAGGGTTTCATGTTATAATACCTTTGATTTCGTTTGAAGAGGTGAAGATGTTTAAAGGGTTCTTCTAAATACGAAAGTCTCGTTTTGAACTTATTTTCAAATAACACTTATGGGGTTAAAGTAGGAGTAATTAGAGCAATAGTAATAAGAAGCCTGTG